GCTTAGAGAATCTGACTTGCTTGTCCTCATAATTCTACAGTAATGAAAAAATTAACCAGAAAAAAAAATCGTTAGATTTCTAGCCCAGAAAAATAAACTTATCTATGCTTTTCTGGGCTAGAAATCATAACCTCACTTCTATCCCATCAGCCCTGGCTGCCAAGAATTCCTAGGATTTGCTCCTAGTCTCTTTTTTTCTAGCTTTAGCAGAACTAGCAGAATTTGATTTTGTTTTCATGATTGTTATCTTAAAAATTAGTCCCTCTTTACTTTTTCCAGTTGAAAATAAGTAAAATTTAACAAATAAAAAAAAAAGAAAAGAAGTAAAATTTATGGTTCTAATGAATAAAAGACCATTTTTGGGGATGCCCAAACCAGGTGAATCTCTCTCTCTGCCAGTTGCATTTCAGTTTCTGTAATGTACATTAAAATCCAATATTTTCCTGATTGTTATTCATTGTACTTCTTTATGCTTTTAGTTTAGTTTTCCCATTTAATTGAAATAGACAATAGAGAATGGAAAAATAGCTAAAACCTTAGTTGTTGAGCAAGAAATAGATTTGGGAGACTAGAATCAATATAGGCCAAGACCTACATCAACAACTTGGAACAAACAGAAAGGTACACTATAATTGCTGAATTTAAAGTTGTTTGAACAAGAGCTACTTTGAAGTTTGCCTCCAAAATTTATAAAGAGTGTGACAAACCAGTTAACTGAGTGCCACATTGTTAACACTAACAATTCCCTAAAAGAAATGTTCCAACTACTATCAACACTAATAAATATGAACGTTACTAGTACCTTTTAGAATTTATGTAATGAGACCTAATTGCATAAATCTATCTAGAAAAATCATTTCAAATTTTTTATTTATTAAAGTGTGCTTTAATACATCTTTTATAGATCAAATTCCAACATTCTAGAGAAGACAAGAAAGTGGGGAATCCCAAAAGAAACCTGATATAAATCTGTGACTCACAGCCTAGTTAATTACGATACTAATTTTGCCTTATTTTCTTTTCATTGATCTCAACTTGGTTTTAGCAATAGTTAACCATCCAGCCATTGACATTGTTACCCAAACAATAAATACATCTAAGTATTAGATTGATAAACTTGGTGTTGTTGGAAACAACAAAATACCATTTACTGATATACTGTAAATCAAATAGAGTTATTAATTTGTATTGGTCTCTATCCTTTAATAAATAGTAATGAGGTTTTTTTTTTAAATTAAAGACAAAGCAAAACTGAAATCATGATCTAACTAAAGTTAATAATCAAAGAACTCTCTCTTTTTAAAAAATTTGTAATGTTTTGGCTTAGAAAACAACCACAGCTCCCAAATTTTGAAATGCTGTTTACAAAGGTGACCCACTCTGGTCTTCAGATTAAATCCAGGTTTCAGTGAAGAAATTCAACTCAGAAAGAAAAGTGGGATTTCAGTTAGAACAGAAGAAAACACCTGCTGTTAATCCCACACACAAGTGGGGGCTGAGTGTCCCAAGCAGCCACCACAGCTGTGAGTGGAGGTTGACCTCGGCTTGGCTTCTGTCTTGAGCTGGCAGGTGTCAGGACGCCATGCTGTCTGCTCAGAAACACCCGCTCTTGAAGCAGCAGTATTTATTGCTCAGTTTTGAGTGCAAGATTTCATGTGTTCGTGAATTAAGCGTCCTTGCTCCAGGCGCTCCAGCTACAGAGCACTAGTTGACACATGTGGCTTTGGCCTTGGTCATTGGACTTTGAGAAAAGGAGTTGCTTCTGTTCCCTACTGTAAAAAAATTTTTTACAGAAAAGCCTTAGAACATGCCTTAGAACCTCACAGAGTGCCTTTGGAAGGCTTGGCCTCTGAAATCTTATTAGCAAAAGCAGGCAGGGGAAGAGGGGAAAAACCTGGGTATAGTCTATATTAAAAGCTGACCTTAAAGTTGTTGGACTTAACTAGGAGTCATTTTTCCTGAATGCCAGTAAATTGTGCTAAGCCAGTTAGTTTTTTGAGGACAGGGACAGTCCACATCTTTTTAAATCAACCTCTCCCATCATATGCTCTACTAGTACTCAGAACATTGGTGAACTCTTTATAGACATCCAACAGATGTATGTAAAAGTCAAAATAGAGTTCAATGACATGCAACTTAAATCAAGACTAGAGTATTCATTCTATTGCATAAATATGATGGTAGGAATCCCCTCACTATTCTTTTCCTTTGCTCTACCAAAAATATAATTCGACTTGAACAGAATTAATGAACATTTGTATGTGTGAAAATTACCAAGTAAATTCCTTAGTTTTACAGACAGTAGGTAGACTATCATTTTTACTTACAACTTGATTTATTGAAAATATTAATAAGGATATTAAAATTTTACTGAAAACATTAAGAAAAATAATTTTCTGTTTTAAGAAAGAATAATTTTCTCACTTCAGTGATAAAATAATTTTTTTTCAGTGATAAAATAATTTGCAGATAAGAGGGAAAGGTTTTTATGTTTTTTCCCCATGTTTTTTTATTGGTGCATTATGTTTGTATATAATGGTGGGATTTGTTGTTACATACTCATACGTGCATACAATAATGACCAATATCAGTCCCTGGCACTGCTCCCCTCCCTCCCCCCTACCACTCCCAGGTCCCTTTCCTCTACTGATCTGAGTGAAAGGTTTTTATCAAGGTCATCCCAGGGTCTAGCTTCCTGTCACCCTCTGGCTCTCCTTGTTTTCTCTCATTTAGACTCTTGGGGTCTTGGGACCAATGTCCATGGCAGTGGGGAATGTGCAGTTGGGAGGCATTTCAGAAGGCACAATGCTGAGGGCAGGTACCAGATACCTGACATGACTCTGAGAATGCAGTTCTAGATCTGTGTTCAAGAGCTTTAGTATCAAAACCCCAGCATTTGAAGTCATGAAGACTGGATTAGAAGCCTGACAGACTCACAAGAGGCCTAACATAGATAAGATTTGAGTTTCATTTAGGACGTTTATGTAAGGATTATCATAATAAGTTCTGCCTTGCATTGTGGGAAAGATTAAGCAATAACAGGTGAAAGTTCTTTGTCAATGTAAAATAAACAAAATATGAGACCTGATCTGTTACTCTTAATTTCATGATAACCTCTCAGCTCTAGCTAGAGTAGTTCCTCTGTGACTGGCTCTTAGCAGAAGAAAGTATTTAGATGGAATATTGCTATGTGCCCACCTGCAGAGGCACAGCAGGGGAAACTTAAGATAGGGGTTAGTAACCTTGACTTTACTTCCTGTCTGAGCTTGTCCTTGTGTCCCAATCCTGCTAAAAACAGCTGAGAGATTAAAGGTGACTTAGAAATGCTCCAGTTCCTTACGTTGGGCTGAACCACAAAACATGACTTCATATTTAAGAACTAGAGAAGACAGCATAATTAATACCTCTAGAATGAGTATTTCCCATTAGTGCTTTTGTTCAAAGGCAGAGAAAAATCTCAAAGTGCCTAAAGAATAGACAGCTGCCCACCAAAGAAGAAATTTCTGAAAAGAGACATACATGTATGGTCGCCTGATTTATGACAAAGGTAACCTAGTACCACAACGGGGAAAAGATGCCTTTTCCATACATGGTGTTTGGTTAATTTGATATCCACTTAGGCGATAAAGTCAGGATGCTTTTTTCTCTATCATTTACAAAATCAGTTCCTAATGAGTTCAAATCCAAATATGGAAGATAAAATAATGAAGCTTTTGGTTTTTAGACTATATGTAGAAGAATCTCTTCTTGATATTGGAGTAGGCAAAGATTTCTTATGTGAAATAATAAAAAAAAACACAACTATAAAGAGAAAAAAATGTTATACTGAATTTATTTAAAATTCATTTAAAAAACACCTTAAGAAAATATAAAGGCAGTACACAGAATGGGAAAATATGTTTGCATTAACATAGCTGATGAATGACTCATTCAGAATATGTAAAGAGCTCTACTGTGTATCCCTACCCATCTATATACAGATGCATGGCATATAATATGTAATGTGTAATGAACTATAGCAAAGCAGTAGAACAATTCAATAGAACAAGAGAAAAAAGTGTGTATAGTTTATAAAAGAGGATGTAAAATGGCCAATAAATGTATAAAAAGGGGTTCAACTTACTGAACACAGAAGAAATACAAATTTTTAAAAAACATGAAATTATTACACCCCTATCAGAACATATAATGTGAAAAAGATAGAAAATACCAAGTATTGATGATGATGTGGAACAACTGAAGCTCTCATATATTGCAGATGAGGGTGTACATTGTAGAAGCCACTTGGGAAAGCTATTTGACAGGACCTACTAAAATTAAACAGGATACTCCTATTACCCAACAGAAATGAATACAACTTTTCACCAAAAGATTTGTATGAGGCTGTTTGTTGTAGCACTATTTTTAATAGCCCAGAGCTTCTAACCTTCTGGAAACAAATGGGCATCAACAGGAGGATGAATGAACGACTTATGCTATATTCATACAGTGGAATATTAGAAAGCACTAACAACCATCTACAACTATGCACAAAATTATAAGTAAACTGCATACACTTTGATCAAAAACAAGTAGACACTTACTGTGTGATTTCATTTATAAAAAGTTGACAGTGGTCAGAATAGCAGTTAACAAGTGGTGGAGAGTAATGACAAGGACATGTGACAACCAGAGCTTCTGACTTGCTGATAGTGTTGTTTCTTTAACTGAGATCTCCTTGCATAGGTATGTTCAGTTTGTGAAAATCCATTCAACATATCACATTCTGATGACAAAACATAGCTGCATGAATGTCTACATACACACACGTATTGCCATATTCATATTCCAATTATAATACAATTATAGTTCAGAAACCAAAATTTATTGAGAAATGTCACTGACATCTGTATCTTCATGCCCTTTGTATATATCTTCTACTGACCTGATGGATCTATTCAAGCTGCAATTGTTTTTTTCTAAATTACACTTTTTTTTTCTCCTCTCTCTGTTTTTTTCAGGGCCCCCCTGGTCCAAAAGGTGATAAGGTAAGAAAATTCATGACAAAAACTAATTTACTGGAAATCCATATTGGCATGACCCTGTACTGTTATATTTTGACCTTTTTAAGAAGTATCACATATGGATTTTGGCTAAAGCTGTCATCTTATCTTCCAATTATACAGGGAGAACAGGGTGATCAGGGACCTCGGGTAAGTTGTACTTTTCCTATTCTGGGCAGAAAATTAGTTTCCGGCTCCAAACTTAATGAAAGCACCCCACTGTCATAACTGCCCTCGTGCTGCATGATTTAGTAATGACTGACACAAATACCACATTGCTTGTAAGTGACAAAGCTTAATAATGACTAATGTATATATTTTGTGCATTATCTTAACCTGATGCCCATAAATAAAACATTCTGCAATAATTAGACCACTGATTAAGGGGCAGCATCACTTCTAGCTGTCCTCAGCAGCCACCTTCCCAATGACTGTTGGGTCCTTTGGGTTTGCATGCATTGTTTTGCAACATAAAGGCCATGTGGTTTTTTTCTTAAGTTAAACTTTACGTGTTATTGCATAAATGTGCTTTATTACAGATAAAAATATTAATGTATTCTACATATTTATTCTTTATCCTGTGTTGGAATAATACTTATTTGTCTGATTTTCTGCATATTTTTAGGCAGATAAAAGGTGTAACATGATTTAGCATAGTGAGAGGAAGGGCGATCTTTTATTCTTTTCAAATATGGCCCTTTAAACCATTATAACCAATGGTGAATGCTTTGTTGTTACCTTGGTAGTGCCAAGTCCTCTGCTTCACATCTGTGCCTTATTATCCAAATGTTCAGACATACTGTTCCAATGATGTAGTGGCTCTGTTCAGACATACCTTTCAATTTTCTCATGTCACTATGCACAACAGCAAGTAATTGGTTGAAGAGAGTAATTTTTTTTTCCAGTGGAAAGCACATTTGAAACTTTCAGGTTGAAAACAGAAACTATGTAGTCTTTCTTTAAAGTGTACTGTGTTTAGTTAATTATTGGATTCATTTATACTGCATAGGGCTTTCAGGGGTTCATTGGTTTGTTTTTTGCAAAAACTGCAGTTGATGCAAACCTGAAAGTTTTTTGTCTTCTTATCTCCTTGTGTTTCTTGAACCAGATAGAGGTTATGTTCTGATTTACTTTTCTTTTTATCCTTCATTCTTCATATAGAAATAATGATTACACCTTGGAGAGTTTTCAGGGTACTTATTCTAGCCAGTGACCTGCTTCAAGCTAAAATTCTCTCTTAATGGTCAAGAGAGTAAACTTCATGCTTATCTACTGCATAGAAGGGAATGGAATAAATCTCCCATTCACTTGAACTGATTAGACATTAGCCACTTGCTCTGTAGGTGATGATCATTTCACAAGGCGTGTCTCCACGTATTGATTATCATTTCTTTCTACACTCAATGCCAAAATCACTCAACTTGCCTTTCCAGGTAAGAGGGAAACTGTTTCCATTCTGAGAACTCTTCTTTTGGCAAAGGAAGTGAAGGGGTGGTTCGCAGCTTAGCTGTCATCAGTCTGCATGCAGTTCTCGTTTTCAAAAAGGTGTGTTGGCTTTCATCGTGACCAAGAGTGATGATTGATTATAAAGCTAGGCCAAATTTTCAGGATGAAACTTGAAACCTTCTGAAATTCACCTGGTTTCATGTTGCATTACAAACTAAGACTTGGACTCGGTTCCCTGAAAGTTTGTTCAAAGTTCATGAACTACTTTGACAAACCCAGACTGCCTTTCATATAGATTTCAGCCAGTTTTCACACCGACTGGGGCCAAGTTTCACACGATTCAGGGGCCATTTAGCATTTTGGGTAGAAAAGTGGCAAAAAAATCATACTATTTTCTCCAGGATTTTACTTTGTATTGAAGGAATTTGGATTTAATTCATAATGTGGGATGGATCTTCATAGGCAATATCCTAAATGTCCTGGAAGGCATATGTGAAAGAGAATGAGAACCCACTGAATTTACTCATCTTTCCCCAGATTCCTAATTTAGAAACAAAGCAGGTCACATTCAGTGCTCTTAGAATTTTATAAACATTCCTTTCTAGTAAGATAATATTTAAGGTAGTATTAGCTTACTTATCGGGAAATTTATCATGTAAAGATAGAAATGTGAAGATTTCATATTTCCAGAGAAGCAAGAGTAAGTTAGAACTGGAGAATCTTCAATTTCAATGAAAATTAATTATCCTATCAATCATTAAGGCACACTGTTGCAATTAGTGTTAACTGGACACTCTTTTTTATTTTAATGCAGTCTTTGTATTTGAATACCCCATCCATTTTCATCCTATCACAGATTTTGAGTTCCACTTTTTGTTTCAAAGGATTTATTTCTTTAACTTAGCAATATGACCCTCCAAACTCCAGCTTTTCAGGTTTTTGTTAGGTGATTTTCCGTTGTGGATCCCTTACTATTCCTTGAATTTATGTAAGGGTTTTTTTGTGTGTTTCTCTTTGGCTCTTCAAATGCCAAACAGGGGTATATTAAGCCATAATGTGTGATCCAAACCAGAAAAACTCAAAGGTATGATAGAAACGAAAAATGAGAAACTATTTGGAAGTAGATACATATTAAGGCATATATGTGTTGAATGCTATATTTCAATTTACTGTGCATAATATCATGGAGACTGTGAGTCCATTTTTTCTTTCCTCTTCTATAACCACCAAATCCAACCTGCTATTATCTCATACCCTTGATTACTGCAGAAGTCTTCCAATTAATCTTCCTGCTTCCACTCTTGACCCTATATAATCTGTTTTCTCCACAGCCGCCAGAGAGATCATTTTACATTGTAAATTAGATCGTGTTACTCCCTTTTTAAAACCTTAGAATGAAATCCAAGCCACTGTGCTTGGCCTCCACAGACCTTCAAGGTCAGCCCTTGCCACCTCTGTAACCTCATGTCACACTAGCCTTCCCTGTCCCTCCCCCACCTGCCCACCACCCTCCCTCTACTTGTCCTCCCTGTGTTCTCCAGACACATCATAGTCAGACCCAACTCAGCAACTTCTCACTTGCTCTTCAGTCTTCTTGCGATTGGTTCTTCTTATTATTTGAGGTTTCATCTCAAATATCACCTCCTTGGGGAGAACTTCTCTCACTGCCCAATCTGAATCTGAAATGATCCTATTTTGTTTATTTCTTCCTTTGTTGTCTGTAAAATTTGCCCCTCCATCCTGAGAACATAAACTACAGAAGAAGGACCTTATCTCTCTTGTTCACACCGTCTTCACATAGAAAAAAGACTTCATGAATCTTTATTGAACATATGTATAAAATATTATTAAATCATTTCTGCCCTCAAGAAGCTGATAATCTCATGAGTGCCTCAGTAAAACTATGTGATTATGTTGTGTGCCTTAAGTAGCTATTCCAAGAGATGCTAGAAAAGTGAAAAATTTTCCGTATTAAGTTATTATGCTGCGGAAGAGAAGATGCTTGAGCTAAGACTTGATAAATGGGTTATCTTTAGAGGACAAAATGAAGAACAAGACATTACACATTCCAGGGGGAGGAAATAGTTTAAACAAAATTATAGAAGTAGAAGATCGAATGATCCATTTAAAGAACAAGAGCATTCTATTTTCTAAGAAAATAGGTTAAATATTAAAAAATTATATCAGGCTGATTAAATGAAGTGATATTATAGGGCCACTTGAATATCTAGTTAAGCAAGCAATAGGGAACCACTGAAGATCTTTTAGTACATCATTTGATATGTATTACCATTGGGTTTTTATTACCAAATATTCTTTATAAAAATCTAATTAAGCTGAAAACTTAGTATCAAAGTGAGAAGTTCAGCAATGGGGAGGGGCCAAGTTGGACAAGCAAGCAAGAGATTCTGAATGGGTCACCAAAATATGGAAGAAAACTCCACTTTCCCCATGGGAGCTAGAGTTTGAATTTATTTTTCTGTCATAATAACAAATATGGAGAAGACAACTGGTAATGTTAGTTATGTAATTCACGATGTACTGTGAAAGTCTCTGTGAATCTCTTTGCCTTTCTCTCGCAATTGCAGGAAGAAGGCTGCTTCAAGTCCACTCATCATGTCTGTGTCTATATTATCAGGGTGGATAAAATACAGTTCCAAGCAAGCAGAAATTCCCCCATGAATTTGAAAGCAGACTTCAGCTTATGTCTCATTGGTCACACTGACACAAAGTTATCCCAAAATGGAAGGGACAAGGAGAATGAGATTTGAAAAGGAAAGCCAGATCATCTCACTGATACAGTTTCCCATAAGTGCCAAGCTAAGGCCTGGACACACAAATAAGGAAAATCCCGGGATGGCGTTTGTAGAAGAAACTTGACAAGAGATCTTAAAGCAAAAGGTGGGAGATGGGTTCATTCTCTATTAGATTTTCACTCAGAACCAGTGACCCTGGGTGAAGGTTAAAGATTTTTTTAAAAAGTAATCTCAGGGAGAAAAATTGAAAGATTCCGTTTTAAAATGTGAAAATTCAAACTGGAACTTGGAGCTAACTGGATGGAGGAGCTGAAGTTGAAGATAAAGATAGGTTTGAAGTTTCCAGCTTTCTTACTTCATAAAATCAATCAGAAGAAAATCCAGAGTACAAATGATATGTTGAATTTTTAGTTATATTTAATTTGTGATCTCAGTGAGATAGTTCACTGTGATATTATAGCAAAGAGAAACATGATACTGGGTTTCTGAGGTGGTGCTATCACTGGAGGTGACAGTTACAGAACTGAGCTGTTCCTGAGTGAGAAGTGAAATGCTAGGGTCAGAAAAATGGTGGGAGGAAGAGTGAGGGGATGAAGTACTCTGCCTAGGATGGATCCCTTGGAAATATCCATATTTGGGGAGTGGGACTAAGACAGGTTGTCAGCAAAGACAGGGAACATTCAGAGGTAGAACCAGGACAGTGCAGAGTGTGAATACTGAAGGAAGAACTAGTTTAAAGGCATGTGGCCAATAGAATAGTCTTTATAATTTTTAAAAATTATTATAGATAGGGGTAAATCTATAGCCCCAGGAATGAGGTCCATAAAAAGCTTCTGGGTTGGTGTTTGGAGTCCTGGGATATGCTTTGTTAAGTACTGAGAGTAGAGAAGTCAGATGACATGAAGTTAAAAGGTAAATGGGAAGCAAGTTCACCATCTTTGAACACCG